CTCTGTGACTGCATCCGCTGGGTCTCAGTCTTGTTCGCCCTGTGTAGAGGTGCTCGATGCAGATCCCCACGTTTCCCCTCTCTGGGCGCCAGTCGGAAGGGCTTGCTGGGCAGAGCGCCTTGGCTCAGAGCAAACACGTGCTGTCCTGGGCTTTCCTCCTCTGCAGAGTGCCGGCAGCCGAGGAGAGCAAGCCCGGCAGCTGGTCATCGATCTGGAGACTCGAGGGAAACAGGCTTTTCCTATATTCCTCTCGATCCTGCGGGACACTGGGCAGGGTGACCTCGCAGACATGCTGATCAAAGAGTGCGAATGCCCACTGGCGCCGCCGCAGCTGGTAAACCTGAGGCCTGTTGAGCTGGACTTACGTGGAGAAAAGCATAAAAAAAGTAAGTATTAAGGACATGGTTGTTTTCTGGGCAAACAGCAGCATGGGGGGTGGCAGGTGGTATCCCTCTTGGTGTGGGTAATAGTCTGTGAAGTCCTGGTTTTTACTATCCTGGAGCGTGGCTCGTAGATGTGACTACGCAGAGCTGTTGGGAGAATATTATGCGTTCCAGTAGCGGAAGCTTTTAAGCTCCAGCTGTGTGCCTGTGGCATTAGGAGCATCATTCTCCGTATTTTTGCATGCAGCCTCCATGGTACCTTGGTGAAAAGTGACATTGCCATGTCCTTGTGCCATCTTGCGCTCTGCTGAATCTGCATGCAGATCCAGCTTGTGCAGTTGTAAGGAGAAACTTCAGCCTGTCGAATCCTGAAAAGGGGAAAACGGATGCGATGTCATATCGCGGCCTCACAGCAGGGTGTTGGTTCAGGTCCTTCTGGGGACTGGGGGTTGGTTACTTGTAGCATGAAATCAGAAAGGGGAGAAGGTGAGACCCAACTGTCCTGTGTCATTACAGATGTGAACTTTCCTGAACGTTTGTCCATCCCAGTACAAGCTGAGAGCGAAAAACTTCGAACACCTCCCGTGCCAGCCCAGGGTAAGCCATGTCGCTGTTCCAGAGAGATGGGGTGCCAAACGCTCGTTTCCAGGGTGCGGTGGGGTGGGAAGAGGGAATTTGTACGTGTCGCTGATGTGACATGGGCGACAGGGCAGGAGTGACGTTAATTCCGGGAGGAACGGGTATAACGTCTCATTGTGGAGTACAGAGAACTAAATGCTGCATCTCTGTTTTGTGTTGTAGGTGTGACCATTGACAAGAGGAACCGCGATCTGGTTAGTGTTTGGTTAGGCCAAAAGCATTCCCCATTAAGCAAAGGCTCATGGGTGGGGAAAATACCGGGAAATAGCCCTGGGACAGCTGGGTTTTGCTTCTTATTATCTGAGTGATCACTCCGAGGCTGATGCCGGTCTAACGGGGCTGATAAGCTCGGAGGAGGTCAATCGTTAGCCAGCTCCTCCTTAGGATTACCATAGCTGTAGCACAAATAACATGTTATAGGGCTAAAGGTTGTGCTTAAAGAGTTTCCGCCAAGGCAACTGGTAATTTCCTAAGGCACTGACTCATGGGTTGTCTGCAAAGTGGTGTTTAGACTTTGTAATCATAGCATTGAGGCACAGAAGCCAGTAAAACAATAAGGAATGTGTGCAGCACGCTTTGGTGCATTGGGAGACACACAGGGAAGCGAGTATTGTGAATACAGCAGCATGTGTCTGGAGTTCCAACAGCCTGCAGGTATCTGATGCAGAGTAAATAGTTTGGCCGTGTATGCACGAGGCTCGTGGCTGTATCGATGCAGGGTAGCCCTCGTAAAATTCCTGCGGTGTTGTCATTGATGGTAAAGCTGAGCCTCTGGGAGATTTATCTACCCATTCTCTTGGCTCCTTGTGCGGGCTCTCGTGGTGAGGTTTGATGATGATGCCTCAAAAAAACTCCCGGAAACTTCAACTTGCCATCGGAGACGCTGCAGGTAAAGAAGCAGCCAGTTTTCTGCAAAGGCGGTCCCTGATTTGGCAGGTTGTTTTGTGTTCCCCGGCTGCTGATAACAATGTGAGTGTGAAGAACAGATGCTCTTATCCATCCCTAGGCCTGGAGAAGTGAAAAAGCTGTGAACAAGCTACTTTAAGGACTCCCGTTCCTCGTTGGTGTTGCGTCCCGCTGGATTAGCCGGCGAGCACTCCGAGTAAGAGGGTGTTTAATTGCGATGTGTGCCTGCCAGGTTTACGATCTGAAAGCGGACCCGTGCGGACACTGCCTGATCCTCAACAACGTCAACTTCAGTAGAGACTCGGATCTGTCAACTCGAGACGGCTCCAACGTGGACTGCGAGAAGCTGGAGAAGCGCTTTAAGGCCTTGCGCTTTGACGTCCTGACTCGGCGGGATCTCAAAGCTCAGGTGAGGCCGGCCGCGTCCAGCTAACACGAGGGACGAGAGGCGAGCTCCTGGAAGCAACAGGAACGCGTTACGGGATGTACCCTCGTGTTGGCAGCAAGCCGAAAGCCCCAGCCTGGGCTGCACAAAGAAATAATCAACCGCTGACATCCTCTTATTTTATTGTCACGCTGCAATTGCAGAAGGAGAAAGGACCTTGCATGTTTTCACCCTTCTATCTGAACTTTGATTCCTGGTTGTGATTTGTAGGGAATTGGATGAGGCTGTATTTCTGTGACAGCTCTGACAGCCTCTCTGTCGTGTGCAGCCAGGGGTGTGATGTGCCTGTCTGTACAGTCCTCAGCTCTTACTCGAAGCGGCGGGGGGAGCTCGGTCATCCGGAGCAGCTGCTGAAAGTAAAATAAGGTTCTCTGCTCACCCACCGGCCCCTAATCAGCAGCAGTGCGTTTCAGTGGATAAATCCCACGGAAGTGTGTTTTGATTGATGTTGCTGTGTTGTAAAGAATGCAGCAAGGAGAGAAATGTCTGTAATTAAAGCAACTAATGTTAAATAAGGGCAGAACTGCAGAAATACTCACCGTCTGCTGATGGGTTTTGCTGCCTGTACGTGCGGTGCATGTTATTCCGCAACAGAGAGATCGACCGGATCCTTCTGAGCAGTGCAGCCATGATAGACCGATAAGAGCAGGGCCTGGCAGTAATCTGTGGCTGAGGTATGATTTGAAAAACTCTTACTGTGACATTTTCTATGTAGGAAATGGTTTCAGAGCTGCAGAAGCTGGCGCGGCAGGACCACAGTGCCTTGGACTGCTGCATCGTGGTCATCCTTTCCCATGGTTGTCAGGTGGGTTTGTCGTGCCGTTCCCTTTGCTCATTAGCCAGGCTGCCCACGCAGGAAGGGGTTAATTCCCTGCGCTGTGGTCTCGCGCAGGGTGGGAGGGAAGTAGTCTGTCGTGTTGTTCGGTCGTTGCAGTAGTACGTTGCAAAGAGTTAACGCTCGTATCTAGGTTAAAGAAAACGGGAGCTTCTCCAGCATTGTCTGATCCAGCGTTGCCTGTGGACAAGTGTTCTCCGTTTCGGATGTTGGGGTATATAATTCAGAACCGAATGATGGGCAGAGAGCGAAGGGAGGTAGTGCTAACCCTCATACCATGGTCGTTTAGTCCTTCCTGTCTCTCCAGCTCTGACTGGGGAGATGCTATTAGTAGTAAAGCCTATTTATCACAAGTCAGAGGCCTCGAAGGACGAGGAGAGGAGAGCGATCGTTAGGGGAGTGGCGTATGTTATGTGCCCGTTGTCCCAGAGGATGAAGAACTCCATTGCTGGGGGAGTTGGGATAGGAGTTGGATAATAAGAGGAGTCGGATTGCTGGGTTTTAGTGTGTTTCAAATGACTGCTGGGCATCTTTTCGCCCTGATGTGGGCGCGCATTTGCACAAACACGAGGAAGTGAGATCTGTTCTGGTAATTTTGGGCTACAAAGAGACAGAAGAGAGTGTCTGATTAGAAATGGGCTCCCTCGAAACTGGTCTTACCTTCCGCATTACTAGCTCCTGGATTTTCCTCTTGCAGACGAGCCATATTCAGTTTCCTGGAGGCATTTACGGAACGGATGGAAAACCCATTCCAATAGAAAAGATTGTGAACTATTTCAATGGGTCCCATTGCCCGAGTTTGAGAGGAAAACCCAAACTCTTCTTCATCCAGGCCTGTGGTGGAGGTGAATCTTTGTTTTAGCTCCCGAAGCGAATCAGCTGTTGGGCGTAAGCAGGCTTCAGAGAGGTGGCCAGGCTTCGGCTTCTTGTTCCTTTTTTGTTCGTTGCCTGTTTCTCCGGCTGACTTCTCTTACTCTCGGCCACATATTCTTACTGCTAGCATGGGTTGAGTCTAAGGGCTCGGACATGAGCCTCTTGTAGGAGGGCAGTACCGATTTACGTGTGCTGGTACGGTTTTACCGCATGGTAGGGAGATGTGGGACAGAAGGAGGGGAGTAATTGCAGCACACGGCCAGGCAGTGCACGCTGACTGGCTGCTCCAGGACTTCAGCCACGAGGTCGGTGGAGAAGCACGGACCAAGGGTGTTCGTGTGAATCGCCCGATGGCTCCAACTCAACCAGCGCAGCCAAAGAGCCAAAAAGCTTTGTTTCGTTGGAGGGCCTTTTTCTTTTTTTTTTTTTTTTAATCTTTTCTTAACGGAGGATGTATGATTGTTGAATGCTTGGGTAAGATGAATTTCAGGGATTGTCTTCTTGCCTCTTTTTGCAGAACAAAGAGATCGAGGCTTTCTAGTGGATTGCGATTCACCTGGCGACGAAGCTCCTGGAGGTTCTTTAGAGTCGGACGCGACTCCTTTTCAGACTCCGTCGGGTAACATGGATGAGCCGGACGCCGTAGCCAGTTTGCCCACACCCAGCGACATCTTGGTCTCCTACTCAACTTTTCCAGGTGAGATAGCCCATGCAAATCCTTTGCTGGGTACAGGGGAATTGGCAAAAAAGTCGGTGCTTCATGGCCGAAGTCAGGAGCAGTTCGGGGCAACAGCCTCCGTTGGAGATGGCACCTGGGGAGCGGCAGTAACTTGGTGAGACGAGAACAGAAAACTGGCTTTAGCAGTAATGTTCTCACTCTTTCTGTGAAGGTTTTGTCTCCTGGAGGGAGGCGTCAAGTGGCTCGTGGTACGTGGAAATGCTGGACAGCGTGCTGGAGCAATACGCCCATACGGAAGACCTGCTGAAAGCGGGTAAATGTCTTTTTTTCCTGCGTTTTGTAGTCATGATGAAGGAAATAATCAGAGCTGTGATCAGACAGGGCATGGAGGCCTATGCTTCAAAGAGGAATGATGATATTGAGCATTCAGTTTAGGGATTGGCTAATTGGAGGTAATGTGGAGAGGTCTAATTATTAAGAAAGTGTCTGGCATTAATCTGCCAAAAATCTCTTTGAGATTTCTGTAATGAGAAACAGTTCTGAAAGTACAGGCTTTAACCTTTGCCAAGGAAGCTGCTAAAAAATTGCCTTAGACCAAAGCGTAGCTTGTCCCATATGCAAAAGTCCAAGCAGGCGGGACACGGGGCACTGTCGTAAGCGTGCTGACATGCGTCCAGGCAGATCGCACCCTCAGGGAAGACCCACTGGGTCTCTTGTGCCTGGAGATCTCCACGGGTGTTCTTCTCTGGGTTACACGTCTTCTGGAGCTCCTGTGACACCGTGGTAAGTCTGGAGGCACATCTCGCCCTCGGGGAGATGATGCCAGATGTTTGTGTTCACGTGTCCTGGTGAGCGAGGAGTGCAATGTGCCCGGAATGTGGAACCACTGTGGCTAATAAATGTTTTCCTTTGCGTGCCCTGTTGACTAGAGAAGATTGCCAAAGTAGGGGACAAGCATAGGTACTTCTAGACGCTTTTACTGTTCTCTATGAGTAGGAGAAAAGTCTTACGTGGAGGCAGCGGGGGAGAGAGGACCTACTGTTTTTCTGTTGTTTTCCTGATGTCACGGTGCTTCTTCGGCATGTGGTGGCATGGCAGCTGTTGATTTCAGGGACGTAGCGTGAGACCCTCTCTCCGTCAGTTGGCATTCAGTGCAAGGAGAGTGACCTTGGGGAAATGACGGGCACGTCTGGAAGAAAATGGGTGGAAAGGGAATTTGCTTTTAAGGAAACTCCTGAAAGGAAAGAGGGAGTGTGACTCACGCGGAGAAGCACCCGCTGGAGGCAACGGTGGCTGGTATGGCTGGGGTTTCTTGAAAGGCCATTTTCCCTTGAGTCCCCATTGTCTCATTTTAGAAGAACTGTCTGCTCTCCCGTCCCACAGTCCCATTCCCTGTCCTCGGCACCGTGCTTCCCGTGAGAGGTCGCGCCCTGACGTGTGAGTCGGAAAAGCGTCCCGTTCCTCAACCGCTCTCCTTCTGTTCTCAGGTGGCAAATGCTGTCTCTGCCAAGGGGAGGTACAAGCAGATCCCGGGCTGTTTCAACTTTCTCCGTAAAAAATTCTTCTTTGCGTGCAAATGACTTGTGGGCTCCAAGGTCCCCGCCAAGCGTGAGAGTTACTTCCCCACAGCTGGATGAAATCTGTGCCTACCGTGACTTGGTGTCAATGCCCCCGGTGGCCTTTGTCTGTCTGTCGAGATGTTTGTCTTGAGAAATGTAATCTGTGAATGCTGTCCTTACTGTGAAATAGAGATAAGATGGAGACCGGCGCTGTGCTGATGGGAAATGGTAGGGATGGAGCAGGGATGGGTGAAGGAAGCCCCTTTGCCGGGGCACGTGCCGGCCTGGAGCCTCTGCTCACAGAGGAGAGGACCTCTAGCTCGCTGTGACGTGGCCGTGCGCGGCCTCTGAATATCATTTTTTGGTGATCGCGATGTTTGTGTTCTTTGCTGCCTGGATAACTGATTGATGGAATCGAGGTCTGGCACTTAGGTGGAATGGAATAATTTTTGCGATTGATATTTCTTATTTTCAATAAAATGCAATGAAAAAGGGAACAATCTTTGGCATTGTATTCCCTCGTCTGTTCCGTCTTGGAATGCCATTTCAGCATTTCCCAAAAGCTTCTCTGAAATGGGAGGAGCAAGAAAAACCTTGCTTGAGTAATTTTTTAGCCTCCTGCTGTTACTGGTAGCATTTCCAGTGTGGCTGTGCCAGCATACGGAGAAGGCAGCTCATGTCCTTTCGAGGAGTTGATTGGAAGCTAAATGGGAGTTACAACAGGAAACGGACGAGGATTCTTTCGAATATCAGAGCTGAGTTAAAGCACTCACTCTGAGGAGCCACTGGGGGTAGCTGCTGTGATGGTTTTGGGTCAGAAAACCTGGATGTATGTGGGATGCTGGGGGGAAAGCATCCTTGGAGACCGTGGAGCTGCCCTCAGGAGGTGCAGCTGCCTTAGGATAGGTGGGGAGGGGAAGCATCGGTGAGCCGCCGCGCCCGCTGCACAGAGCCAGGACAGTGTGGAAAGCCGCACATGCGGCTGCCTGGCCCGGCCCATCTTCATCACATGGGGCTTTTTACACTCTCAGGAAACCGTGCAGGGGTTTTGGCACTGCAAAGGCAGATTGTGCTGTGCCCCTTTGCCTCTTCGCCTCTGCGCTGCTGGGCTGGCAAGGGATGCTTGCGAGTGGGCAGGGAACCTGTGGATCTCCAATCTGCCTTTGCAGTCGCTAGGTATTTCCACGCTCCTTTTTTTGGGAGCGTTCCAGGTGCTTTGAGGCAGTTCAGCGCCGCCAGCAGAGTGATTATCAGGCCAGGGTTTGGGTTTAACTATTTTTTGAAGGGTGCTGGGGCTTGAGCAATGGCAAAAGGAGCTGAGAACTTGAAAGAAGTAATTAAAAGTAGGGTGAGAGAGAGGGGGGCAGGGGTGTCTCGTCCCCCTAGAGGGAACAGCAGTCCCTGCTGCTTGGGGAACAGCGTCCCGGAGGGGTGCACACCTGGCCGTCCCCCACGCACTCCCAAAGCATCTGTGTTGGAAAGAAAAGCCCCTCGGTTACTTGACAAGCACAAGGTCCCTCTAGTCATGCTTTGTCCCCATCAGCTCCAAAAGGTGAGCCGCACAAAGGATGCTGCCCCGCGTTGCGGGGGCCCGCTTTGGGCTGCTGCAACTCTTGCCACGGGGGATGCCCCCAAATTGCGCTCCCTGCTTTGCGAAAGGACCCGCTGGGGCTGCTGTGAGGGACAGGGACTTGGTGGAGCGAAGCCAGATGGGGGAACATCACTGGGAGACCCTAAAGCCGTGCAGCCTTGAGGCAGGTTGTGCTTTGCCCTAGAAGTCGGGAACAGGGGATGAGCGGGACGTGCCCCGGCCGGTGTAGGGGTCCAGGTTGCATGGCCACCGCCTCCGGGAGCTCAGGACCAGCAGGCAAAGGGATGGCTGGAAGTGAGGAGCAGTCAGCGGGGAGCGGGACATCTCTAGGGAGGAGGGCAGGGGGCTCAGGTTGAGCCAGTTAGGGCGGTGGTGGGGGCTGAAAGGGCAGGGCCAGGGCCAGGGAGAGCAGGGCAGGAGCTGGGCAGGATCTGGTCTTCACCTGGGGCCTGGAGCTGCCTGAGTTGCCGACAGTGCTGGAGCCGGAGTGGTGCACCCTTCATGGTGAAGCTGGATGGCTTGGCTGGGAGCCTGTGCTGCCCATCACCTGCGCTGCTGGGGTGAGTGAACCTCTGTTTTTAGGTACCACTCGATTGCAACATCCTGTTGGAGATCTGTCCCTCTACGAGATCGTGCAACGGGAGGAGGAGAAAACTGGGAAGAAAGGATGTGAATCATGGGTTTTATTTAAAAGGAAAAAAGCAAGGTATATGGAAACTGATTTTTAAGATGACATGGTGGAAACGCAGCAAAGAGGAACAGAGGAACATGGAAACAAAACAGATCCTAGGTACCATTGGTCTCTGTCCTATCCTTGTCCCCAGAGCCGGTGCTCGGCAAGCGGAGGAGCGATCCCGAGGTCCTGCAGTCCCATCCATTACAGGTGAGAGTGGGATTTGATGTGTATTTCATCCCCATCCCCGTCCCCCACCGTGGCACTGAGCTTGCTGCTTCCCAGCAGGAGGGCTCACAGTGCCGGCCACAGCAGCAGTGGGATGCCGGGAGCAGCCCGGGGTTCAGGCTGGCACGGGACCGGTGCTGCCTTTCCCGGAGGGCTCGGCACAGGGCGGACGCAGGTCCCTACTGGCGGGGGCCCACCTTGGGTGCCTGGCCTTGGCGCTGTGGGGTGCGGATTCCCAGCCACTGCCATGGCCATGGCATTGGCTCGGATGCCGGTGACGCCTGCTGTACCCGGGAAAGCCTGGGGGTGTGCGTGGGGTGCGTGGCTGTGGGGTGCGTGTGTGAGTTTTTTGGGGGGCTTTTGCTTTGCCTTCTGTTGTTATTTTAGCTTGGGTTTATGGTTTGGAGCTGCAGCCATTCATTTTGGTTTTTTCCCTTTGTTTTTGGCTTTCCCAGGGGTGGCGGGCGCTCCAGGGCAGTGGTGGGGGCCCCATGCGGGCCTGGGGGCGAGCACCCAGG